GGAAGAAAGGGAGAGAGACACGTGGCGAGGAATGGGTGTAGAGTTTGTGTGGGTATGGGTCCCACAAGCCAAATTAATTAAACAATGTTTAAAAATATCCCTCCAACTTCGTAGTTCTATAAAATCTTCATTTTAGCTCCAAATTGAGACATTTGCACCTAGGCGTTCGTATTGTCGAGAACTACGAGGATACGATAAAAGAATGGGTCCTACGTCTTCCAAAACATGGGTCAACAAAAGTCAACACCCTCGCCTCTAGGGCATTTTCGTCAATTCACTCATTTAAAATTCATAAAATCGTAAAATTTGGGACGGTCTGTCACACACTGTGTATTTTAGAATATGTTAATCCATTTAAAATTTATAATTAGTAATATACCAAATTTCTGATGAAATAAATGCATAGTAAAAAAAAACAAAAAACCATCTTCTCTCTTCACCAGCCACCTCTATTAAGAACATAAGAAATAACGAAATTAATGGAACTAATGATAAGGTGGCCGGAGATGGAGGGAGAAGGGAGAAGGGAGAATGTATGGACAACGATTAGAGTTTTATTAAATCTTTTAAACGCTTACTTAAATACCTATAGACTTTTATAGATTTAAAATCTTGATTGAGAAAAACTGAATTTGTAGACTCTTTTAAAATCCTTTAAACTACTAATTGAATGCACCTCTTTGAGAAACTTAACTGAAAATTACATAAAATCAGTCAAACATAATCAATATGTATAAGTTTGTTTTTTTTTTTTAAGGTGTATAATTGTCAAAAATGATTTGGTTCTTTGAGATAGTTTGAGTACGTAATGATTTTGTTTTCGAGTTCTTGTTTGGGTTTTTTATTCTAAGTTTAAATTTTTTAATTTGACTTAAAATTGGATGATTATGTACCTTAATCATGGTTCAAACATGCGCTATAATGGTTCTTTTCATTCAAATTCACTTACACTAGGAGCGGCAAGAAAATAGGGTAAATCACCAAAATGGTCCCTGAGATTTGCATAATTCATAACTTTGGTCCCTGAGATTCCAAATCGAACAAGTGGTCCTTGAGATTGTCCACCATCCATCATTTTGGTCATTCCATTAAAAACTCCGTTAAGTGTCCTGGAGCTCTTAGCCGGAAGTTTGGGTAATTTTCAAAGTTTCATAACTCAATCGTTTCTTAACCAAATTTGACCCATAATATATCAAAATGAAGATAGAAAAGTGTAGAATAAGATTATACCTATTTTGAAGTCCAATGGTTCCTGGAAACTGTTCCGAGTGAAAACTTGAAAACTCGCCGGAAACTGGGTAAACTTTAAACGTTCATAATTTTTTCAATACATAACGAAATCAAGTGATTAAAAAACCTTGATGAGACGAATGTTGGAAATGTGCCCTAAAACCAATCATATGATGATACTTTACGGACATTTCACATGTTAAACTAATCTAGTTTAATATCAAGGGCAAAGATTATTGTTTGAGCCGTCTCATATAAATGTTATATGCTTAAACGATAAGTCCAAGGAATATGTGATTGGGAGAATGCAATCTAAAGAAGTTAGATTCATGAGACCATTCTTTCGTAGACACATCCTAAACGTTCCTGATCATAGGATTGCCAATTGGGCATTGACAGTCCGTTAAGATCAGTACGTGCTGTGTCTTCTCTCAGGGAGAGTGACTAGTCTCGAGTCATTGGTGTGTGTGACATCAAGACAAGTACGTAGGTGCTCAATAGAGAATGAGTTCACTGAACACGATCTACGAAGAGTTCTCATATTCATGTCACATGAGAACTCATGGTTGGGATAATGCAAAGTAGTCATTTGACCTGAGGCATCATAGTTGTCTTGTGGTTAAGTCCTTGATCTTTGATTATGTCAAAAGTCACTCCAAAAGGAGGGTGTCCACGGCATAGTTGGGGTTAAGCCACTTAGCTATGGAGGCAAGTGAATGCGCAACAAGGGATCTCTAACCTTCAAACTGTTTGGGGGAGAATACTCTATGATATGATTTAGAATCTCTGGCCAGAGTATGAATGAGATTTAGGAAAGTCGTTCCAAATCACATTCAAGGTAATCATATAAGCACACGAATTACATTGGATAGTAGACATGAATAAACTATCAAACCAAACAATGTGGTCAAGAGTATTGTATTAGAGAAAGACCGTATTGCATTTGTAATCCTAAACTGAATAGGTTCTCTAACTCTTCTGATTAGCTTGGGTAACCATGATATGCTGCTAGGTGTCACTCATGGTTTGTGGAAGCCCTAAACGTGTATTACTAAAGGGAGAATTGAAAGTAAGTTTCAATTCACAATCGATTTGAAAGAGTTTTAATCGCCCACTGCCTCGCTAAAAGGAACCTAATGGATCGTACACCGTGTAAGGTGGAGATTGAAGAAACAATGGAGATGAGTAAGAATAATTAAATGGTTTAATTATTTATGGCAAGGATTAATTAATATGTTAATTAATCAAACGAATAAGTTCGTTAAAGACCTCGGGATAGTTTTGGACCTTAAGGCTCAATGGGCTTCGAACGTCAAGCCCATTGACTTAAGTTGTATGACAATTTAATGAATAAAGATTCACAAAGGCCCAAAAGCCCAAATCCCTTATGTGGCCGGCCATGTGTGTTGAATTAGGGTTTTTTGGTTTTTTAGGTCATTTAAAGAAGTGACTATATAAAGAACTTTATAGCCTAAAATTCATTAAGGGTTCTTTTGGAGAAAATTGGAGAGAACATGTCTCTCCTTTTCTCTCTAGGAGGCCGGCCCCCTTGAAGGGATTAGCTAGCAATCCCACTCCTCCAAGGTCACTCATTTCTTCTCCAATCTAACCTTGGTGTAGACACTTAGAGGTTCTCAATTTTGGGAACTTGGAGAACCATATTCTTCCATCCAAATCCATGGATCTAAGAAGCAAGGAATGAAGGCCCTCTCCTTGGGTGATTAGCCTTTGCTTATGCAAAGAGGAATCTACAAAGGTATAAATTTCTCAACTCACTTTGATTTGAGTTGAGTCTTGGTTCACCAATCTACTAGGCTTTGAATTTCATGGGTAATGTTTTGTTTTTGAATGCATGCAAGCATAATTCCGCCTTTTAATTGTTAAATGCATGCTATAGATGTTATTCAAATGAACATGTTTTCACAAAATCATCCTTCAACGAAGAGAATGGTACCTTTTCTGACAGCTAACTCGGATTGGTTTGGCTTGAAAAAGGTTCGAAAGTGGCTGTCTTGGTCTCAAGTTAGCCATTTTTGAGCCGTTTTCCGGCCAAACCACGGCGAGTTAGCAATCCAAAAATGTGCCATTCTCTTCGTCTCATCGAAAAGTATGATTTTTGTTTTTGAATCACTTGATTTCGTTGAGTATTGGAGAAGTTATGAACGTTTAAAGTTTACCTAATTTTCGGCGGGTTTTGAAGTTTTCACTCGGACCAGTCAACTTTGAGACTATTTTCCGGCAATCTCTGGCAACCATTGGGCTTCAAAATAGGTATAATCTTATTCTACACTTTCCTATCTTCATTTTGATATATTATGGGTCGAATTTGGTAAAGAAACGATTGAGTTACGAAACTTTGAAAATTGCCCAAACTTCCGGTCAAGATCTGCGGGACACTTAACGGAAGGACCAAAATGATGGATGGTGCACAATCTCAGGGACCACTTTTATCGATTTAGAATCTTAGGGACCAAAGTGATGAGTTATGCAAATCTTAAGGATCATTTTGGCGATTTATCCCATGAAAATATGACGAAACAACAATTAATCAAGCAAATAAAGCGGGATTTTTCTTTGATGATATGCAGCATTGAATTATACAAAAAGTGAATAACTGTGCTTTCAAATAAAAGATATAAGAATTGTAATCAAATCTAAGTGGCTAAATTTGTAATATTAATTGATACATATCTTTCAAGCCAAACCGAATCAAGTGACTGTTATTTGGAATTTTGGACAAATACTGTGTATCAATTTATTAGGGGTTAAGTGCCGATCATTGGTAATAACTTTTTAAAACATTATACACAACTACTAAATGTTTTGAAAAATATACATTTGTAACATCCCACATTGCTCAGGGGAGTGATCCTTAAATGTATATTCTCATCTTTACCTAGCACGAGGTCTTTTGGGAGCTCACTGGCTTCGGATTCCATCAGAACTCCGAAGTTAAGCGAGAAGGTGGCCAGGTCACTCCCATGATGGTTGACTCACTAAAAAGTTGCTCGTAAGTTCCCAGAAACAAAACCTTGAGGGGGTGGTCGGGGTCCAAAGTAGACAATATCGTGCTACTGTGGTGGAACGGGCTCGGGAAATGGTTCGTCCCGGCTGGAATGTGACACATTTGTTAGGTTGAAGGGCGTTAAATGATGATATGGACAACTATTAAAGTGTGTTTTCTTAAGTCATCTACAAAGCTTTGAATCTTCAAATTGAAGGATTTTAGCCAAACAAATTTACAGTTATACTTCGATTTGAACCAAACAAATTTACAGTTATACTTTGTTAAAATGAATAGATTTGTGAAATTAGAGCTCCAAATATTTATTAATAAAATATGTTGTTATGGCCTATATTTAACTGATAGGGGAAGGGAGGCCGGCAGCACTAAGAGAATATAGAAAGAAATGTGTTTGTAATGTTACGTAGATGATGTGTTATTTTTTCTATGTAATGCCTTTATTTATATTTATAGTAACGAGAGGGAATAAATATTTTAACAAAAACAATATTCCTGAAGGGGGCGTTTGTTGCGCCGGACTATCTCGGACTGGACTAGCTTCAAGGACTAAGCTGGATTGGCTTAGACTAGACTAAGCTGGACTAATTTAGTGAAGCGTTTGGTGCAGTGTTAGACTAAGAAGCTGGATAATAACAAATTCTAATATTATATTATTTAATATATAAATTATTAATATTTTATTATGATCTAGGTGACCGGAGATGACGAGGAGTTTATCGGGAGTGGTTGTTGAGCATGACGAGGACGAGAGAGGATAGTCTTAGCTAGTCCCATGGTTATTGGGGGGTCTCGCTAAGACCTCTTAGTGAAGGGTTTTGTCCATGCTAGTCCCCTTTAGTCTCATTAATGTTAGTCCCAGCATGGAACAAACACAGTATTGGACTAACAGTTAGTGCAGTCCAGTCCAATCCCACTTAGTGAGGGCAAACAAACGCCCCCAAAGTGTCTTCATCCCTGTGCGGGGATCCCTCTCTCTCTGTCTCTCTCATCGCTTTTGCTCTTCCATCTTCCCTTCCCTACGAATTGTCTAAATTAATTAAATTCACACCGTTCTCTTACCCACAATTCAAATTTGCGGTAGAGTGAGAGTAAGAGAGAGCCGAGCTTTTCAATCGGAAGGAAAAGGTCGGTGGTGGTCTGCGGTGGCGATCTCTGTTGAATGGTAGTCGGTAGAGATGCTTAGGCGACTCACATTGCCCGCAAAAATGGCCTCAACCAACTCAAAGAGGAGGTGCTGATTCACCTATGCCTTCTCTTTTTCTTTCCATTTTTCTACAACCGAGTACTGAGTGCTCTATCATGTTTGATTCCTATTGATTTTGTTTGCTGTTAATTACCTGTGTTAGTGCATCGTTAGCTTAATGTTGGAAATTAAGGGTTAGTTATGGTTTGAATTTTCCATCTATTCATCTCTGTATATATGTATGCTATGCCTCTCTATGTATCAATCTTTTCTTTTTTGTGGACTATTTATACAGGACTCTTGACCAAATATATGCTGATTAGTTAATTACTTTGTTAATTCATTCCCTCTAAAATTAAGAAAAAAAAATTGGTTAATTAATTTTTTTCTGGGTTTTATTTCTTTTGATTCCCCCTCCATCCCTCCAATTTGTTTATTTAATTTTCTCCATTTTCTGCATTGCCTGCAGCTGAACTTTCCAGTAATTAAACAATCGGACGCTCAAGGCTGATAGAGTTTTGCTGAACGCATTCCGCTATCAAAAAGTCGAGCAATTGCCTTTTGCTTGGGAGATGAAGGGGGGATATAACTATAGATTGATTGGGAAACCAATCTCTCTCACTCTGGCTGCCCTTGTATTCACAACAATATTACTTTGGGCTTGGGAGAAAAATCCTTTTGCTGATACTACTATTGCAAGGCCAGCGGTTTACAATGCCTTCCATAGGTTTGTTTGCCCCTCAATACGTGTGTGGTGGTTTCTATTTTTATTTTTTGTTACCAATTAAACTTTTTAACTGTTCTAAGTTTATAAAACAAAATAAAAAAGTGACGATTAAGGGTTAAAATGAACATGAAAATTCGTTTACTTAGAGAAAATGGTGAACAATGTTCTTGGGATTTTTAAATAGTTTGAGATGTATATTACTATTTGGTTTAATGTCTAGGACAAGATTGTCGACCATATTGTGTTAATACCGTTCGTATTGTGCCTGCTATAACATTCCACATGTTTTGATGTGCCTAAACTTTTGTTCACAACATGGACTCCGGTTCTCTTCGTTAATTTGAACAAGAGTCCCATGTGCCACACCCTCTTTGCCAAACTGCAGTGGCATAGAAACGTATAACTTCATTTTTGTACAACGTAGCTGCTATCAAGAACTAAATCTACTAGCTTAGTACAGTCCTTCATAGCCCATACTTGCCAAATAATGGTAGAAGGCAGTGAAAAATTAGTTTGCTCTATCGTCTCATGATGATTTTCAACTATCGCACTTTAAATGGTACCCCTTACCATTAAGAAAACAAGATTCCCTGTCTGCAGAAAGCTTAACAAGTTGTTATAAGAAATGAGAAGCAACTGTACAAAAACATTATCTACTCTACATTGCCTATTTAAATTTTGATAATCTATGTAACTCCCCATACTATCATCTTTTGCATTTCTATTACTCAATTATTTAAGGGGGAAACAAAATTTGATTGCATATGACAATAAAGTTACTCAAGAAAAGGGATGGCCACAAAGTACCTGAAGGCGGTTTTTGTTTTATTTATCTATGATTCGTCTGTTAAATATGATAATGAATGGATGGATGGCACATGACATACTCTAGTGACTCTTCTTTGGAGAAACTCACAGGTTCTTAGAAACTTATTTTCCGTACAAGTAAAATCGAAATAAGGATAAACTAAATGTCAAAAGGCTTGTTTATTACAGAAAAAAGTCAGAATTAGGATAGGATGATGGTTGAACTTTGGTGGCTATGTGGGATATGTGGATAACTATTGCTTGCATGAAAATGTCACAAATTAGGGTGAGATGAAATAATGTTTTTCCTGTCTAATTGGTCAGTGCTGAAGGAAAAGCCAAATGAAGATAGGAGAATGACATGATTCGTTGTTATTTACTTCCTAAGCATCTCTTGAAAGCTAAATGGTAAATGCTAACTTCCGTATCTGGCAAAGTAATTAGGACCTAAGAGTTGACCTCAATAGTAATGCTAAAATGTGTGCCAAGTGATTGAAGGCTGCAGTTTCAGCTACTTGTCACTAGTTTTGCCTGCCTAATCAGTCAGCGCCCAGAGGAGTTCAGTTTTGGTCGGCCTTTTGGGCTTCTTTTTCTAAGGAGTTTAAGCAAATCTCTTATTCTAGTATATTGGCTTGACTTGGCAGGCTGGAATTCTTTAGTTTGGAATTGTCTAGTTTTAGCTTTTTTGTAACTTTGTTTATGGTTTCTTTCCTAGTGGTGTTCTTGACCACTCGTGTTTTTTCCTTGCTGTTTTACTGTCTTTGCAATGAAATAGTATCTTTTTCTTCAATGCTGAAAGCACTGACTAATATAGATTAAGATATGGCATATTATTGACATCATTAACCATCTTACCTGCTTCCTTGTCTGCCTGCTGATGAATTTTTTCTGTTATATTTAGATTTTCTTGGGGACTTCTTAAATAATTCCTCAAAACCTATGAAGACAAATGGAAATGCTGAAGGGAAGGATTCATTTTTGAATACAGTAGAAGATAGAAAAGTAGTAGAGAATTTTGGCACTGCCCCACTAGATTCTATGTATGCATTCTCTCCTAGAATGCAAGAAAGTAATGGGATCGTGACATCTTTACAAACTAAAGGTATGTTCCCTTTATTGTTAAATTTTGTAGTTAACTATAGTTATCTTATTGCTTTAGTTGCTCATAGAATAGAATAGTACATTAAATCTGCCTCTCTGAATTGTTTTTCTTAATAAAGAAACAATAGTATACAGTATTGATTACTTTGTGAAAAAATTAGAACAGATTGAGGTGCAAGCCAATTAATAGAGAGAATAAAGAGTGGATAAAAGATTGTCTCTATTTAAAAAAAAATTAATAAAAATAAAGTGGATAAGAAAATTTGGCCCTGGATTTCCCTAGAGTTATATCGCAGATAACCAGGTTTGCTTTTGTTTTTGCCTTGACTGTGTCAATGTTGTCTGATTATTTGGCATTATCTTGATTAGATTTATCTATTATCTTTTATCTTTTATCTTGTCCTTCTCTTCATTAAAAAGAAGAAATTAAAGAGAGACAGGAGGCTGCTGCTCCTCTTCATTCATCCTTGGTTCATCCCACTTTCCCTCATCCACAGCTAATGTAACATGACTGCCCCTGTCCAAGTCATATATCAGGGTCCCACCCAATAGAGGAGCTTACCTTTGTGACATGGAGTCACATGCCCCTATAAACCGAGGATAAATATGAGGCCCAAGCTGAGAGCTGTTGCACCCTCTTGAAAGGGTACGTGTGTGCACTTCATTTCACCTCCGACCATTGTTGATGACTGATGTGGTAAAAACTAACGCACAAATTAAACCGTATTAAGATAGTTGTAGTATGTGTAAGTAGGGATCGTTCTAGGCCGGGGATTAGTTAGGGATGCTAATCAACACAAATTAAACTTCAAAACTGAAAACTAGACTCTAGTGACTCAAAACTGCCCAGAATGACTCCAAACAGCACAAAACTAAGTTCAATTGACTCAAAAAAAGAACTAGAGGGTGATTTGGACGAAATTAAACTAAAAAGACTCAGAATACTAAATGGGGGTTGTTTTGACGAATTTAAAGTAAACCTAAGTACTTGCGGAAACAAACTAAAGGTAATACGAAATTGGATGTTTTTAGGGGTGTAAGGCTAGTTAGAGCATCCTTCTCCACACATGACACATATGCATACAAATCGATTTCCAGTTATTATTCCTATAAACCATGAATGACAATGCCCCAAATTAATCGTGAGAAGCACAAAGTAACTTTCAGATTTTCCTAAGTTCATTGAATTGGACTCAGCGATGCAACCAAATTATTCTTATCAAGTTCCGTATATGAACATCATGATAGAGATGCATATCAAAGATCATTAAGTTCTATAAAAATCATAAGCATTGACAAGGCATTTGTAACTATGAACTGCATGATACTCTTGCCAATAATTTACTTAACACAATCATGACTAGTGACTTTTACTACTTGTGAATATAAGTTCATAACGATTAGGTGAAATTCCATTATATTCTAGCATCAAATTCATGCATGCAAACTAAGTATGCATCTTTAATCAACACACAAGAACAAGTTCTCCATAAAACAGATAAGTAAATTGCATTCACAATTTATGAAACAATAACTGGATGTAATCAATTCATATCACATATATGTTCATGGCTTTGAATTCACCTCTAACTAAAACGAAATTAGTTCCACATGTTCATCATAATTGAAGACCAAATTAAAATAAACATTGGACTAAAACTAAGGATAGAAAGAACCCAGAAATGCTCCAACACTCCAATGGCAGATTTGGCACAATCCTTGGCTGCAGGGTCACGACACAAGGCCTTCTTCTCCTTGCAAGCACGGCACATGTCTCTAAAAACTCTCAGAAACCTGCGGCACTCTTTTTATTTTTCTCTCTGAATTTCTCTCTTGCGTGTGGTGCTCTGAATGGTGCGGCAAAGATGTGTGTTTATAGGGCTAGGGTTCAGCACAATTTCTAAAGGGAAAAGGATTGCACAACAATAATTTGTAGAGGAGAAGGATAGCACAATCCTAAGAGGAAAGGGAATAGGATACACAACAGGTTTCTAGGCTTCTAGAAAGGGTGGTGCGGCACTCTTTTAGGACCAGGAATAGGGATTCTAGAAAGGGTTATGGCAGGTTTCTAGAAGGAAAGGGATAAGAGGGTGCGGCACCAATTTAGGGCAAAGGATAGGGCTTCTAGAACCAGATATTTAGGTGATTTAACGTGAAATTAATTCCCCCTTGCAGCTGGAATTAAAGTAGGATAAGATTAGGATAGGATAAGATAAGATAAGGTTAGTTTGGATAAGATAAGGTTGGATAATGTTTCTTCCTTTTAGCTGATTCCTTATCTTCCAAGTCTTGAATTAATTCTTCCAGATTTGTAGCACATTTTTAGCCTCTTTAAACTTCAAAAAGTCCATCCATTATGCTCCATACGCATGCTATCCATTCAAAGCCCAAAACTGCTCTAAAATGCTCCAAATTGCCTTTTCTTGCCACTTTTGCCATTTGGACCTACAAACACACAAAAATAGCTTAAATCACTATAATAAACAGAAACTAACTCACTAAATGCAAAGAAACAAGTTAACAAAGTCGCATAAATATGCTCCTATCAATGACTCCCTAGTTGGTTAATTAAACTGATATAATTAACCAACTAGGGAAAATTCCTCCCCCTCAATGCCCCCTTTGGAAAAATTTCCTCTATCCGCTTCAGATGGTAGTAAATTGGTGAAGCTCTGTGCATCATCAGCATTGCATCATCCTTTTTTCCCTCATCCTCACCCAATGCAACATGAATGCCTCTGTCCAAGTTATATGTCAGGGTCCCACCAAATGGTGCAGCTTACCTTCATGACATGGGAGGCACACGGGCCAATAAATGGACTATAAATATGAGGCCCAAACGGATAACTTTTTCACCCTCTTGAAATGAGTGCGTGCACATCCCACCTCCGACTCTGGTTGGTGACCCCCTAGTTTGTTAATTAAACTGATATAAATATCACATGCCCTCTTGAAATAAGGTGTCCCCCCTGGGAAAAATTCCTCCTCCATAGTGCTCCTTTGGAAGAAATTCCTTTATTCGCTTCAGATGGTAGTAGATTGGTAAATCTCTGTGCATCATCAGCATTGCATTGATTGATTGATACAACAACAACAACAACAACAACAACAAAGCCTTATCCCACCAAGTGGGGTCAGCTGCACTGATTGATTGACAAAAAAAATAAAAATAAAAAATCTATCTTAAGTTTGCCAAAATTTGCAGAATCTTGGGCAGGACATGATGGTTGTTAAGAGAGAATTTAAAGATGGGTTGAGTGCGGGTTGATGGATTCTTGGAGAATGGGATTCAGGAGATGAAAATGATATTGAGGAACTCGTGAAGAGATTGGCAAGAGGGGAGTGAGAAGGTATTTTGGTTCTTTTTATTTGGTTTTGTGTAGGCTTTAACTAAAAGGGTATGTTCTTGTATAGAAAGAAGTCCATCTGACATTGAGAGAGCAAATGCAAAAGATAGTGAAAACAGAGAAGTTAAAGCAAGATAGCGATGCATGATTAAAAAAAGGTCGTACCCAGTGCACAAGGCTCCCGCTTTACACAGGGTCTGGGAGAGGTGAATGTCGGCTAGCCTTACCCCCATTTATGGAGAGGCTGCTCCCAAGTCTCGAACCCGAGACCTACCGCTCATGGGCGAAGGCACTTGCCATCACACCAAGTGCGACCTCTAAAATCTCTCTCTCTCTCTCTCTCTCTCTCTCTCTCTCTCTCTCTCTCTAGTCTCTACAATGGTATGGAAAAGGCTGCTACTTTTAATATTAACCAAATCAACTTCCGGGGAAGGAGGTCTTGGTGGGATTATGAATGGAGACAAACATCCGCTGCAGTCCCTAATTTTAGAAAAGAAAACAGAAGTACAAATAAAGAGTTAAAAAGATAATGGCATGTATTTCACAGAAGAGTGAAAAATGATCACTCTTAACATCATGTTATGGTTTAGAACGGCATAAAATTGTTTCATGCCATCAATTGCATAGCACTCTTGCTGATTGGAGAGTTTGTTTGATATAAATACATTATGCACATAATTTTTCACTGGAAAGTCTTTCCATATGTAGAGTTGTTGTTTACACTGTTTCTCTGCTATGTTGAAAGGTTTCCGTTACACAGATTTATCACATCATGCTTCATGGTTCATTGTTTTCTAAGCTTGTGGAGTTTTCAACTGTGCAGTGTGTAATTATGCCAAGGGTAGATGGGTTGCAGATAGCACACGCCCTTTATATTCGGGGTTTAATTGTAAACAGTGGTTATCACAAATGTGGGCATGTAGGCTGACACAACGAACAGATTTTTCTTTTGAGGGCTACCGATGGAAGCCAGCAAATTGTGAAATGCCAGAGTTTGAACGCTCTGCATTCTTGAGAAGGTAACTCTTTTATGTTTGAACTTACTTAAATTTTGATGTGAAGTTGCCAGTTGTGTTCATCATTCATTAAAAAGACAATTCCGCTGGAAGAGAAAACACCTTGATTGTTTTTCTCATTTTTTATACTTGCATTTATGTTTGCTTACTTTTTCCCAGGTACAGAACTCGGTCGTTGTCTAATCAGGGCTTCTTGCCTGGTTAACTCGTGAAAAGCTTCAACTTACTTTTTGATTTGTATTTATAATATTTTGGACTGAAAGCATATAATTTCCCTTGGTTTCCACTTCAAGCACACCTATATTTTTCAACTAGAAGTCTAAAATATGTCCCCGAGTCATGAATGAATCCTCTCATACGGTCTTACTTTGAAATCCTTTTAACAATATGGACCACAGTGTTCACCCGAGTTTAAGATTTGGTGCAATACAGAGAAATGGTTTATCTTGCTGTGGTCAGTGTTCTAAATGTGAATGTGCCTTTCAGGATGCAGGACAAAACGATTGCTTTCATAGGAGATTCATTGGGCAGACAACAGTTCCAGTCTTTGATGTGTATGGCAACTGGTGGGGAAGAAAACCTAGAAGTTCAGAACGTTGGAAAGGAATATGGTCTTGTCAAACATCGTGGAGCCATTCGTCCTGATGGCTGGGCTTATCGATTCCCGAACACCAATACCACTATATTATATTATTGGTCAGCAAGCCTATCTGATCTAGTGCCCATTAACATCTCAGACCGAGCCAGTGATATTGCCATGCATTTGGATCGACCCCCGGCTTTCTTGAGACAATTCCTTCATCGGTTTGATGTGCTGGTTCTTAATACAGGGCATCATTGGAACAGGGGAAAGATTAATGGAAACCGGTGGGTAATGTATGTAGACGGAAAGCCCAATGAAGACAAGAAACGTGCAGAAATTGAGAATGCTAAGAATTTTACTGTGTACAGTATTTCCAGGTGGGTTGATTCTCAACTTCCATCACATCCTCGCCTAAAAGCTTTCTTTCGGACTATTTCACCAAGACATTTCTTCAATGGTGACTGGAATACTGGGGGTACCTGTGACAATACTAATCCGTTGGCTGGAGGAAGTGAAGTAGTCCAGGAAGGATCCAGTGATTCAGTAACTGAGGGTGCTTTCAAAGGTACAAAAATAAAGTTACTGGATATAACTGCTCTTTCTCAAATTAGAGATGAAGGTCACATATCTCACTATACTATTAGAGGAAAAGGAAATGCAGGCATAAATGATTGCTTACATTGGTGCTTACCGGGAATTCCAGATGCATGGATGAACTCCTTGTTGCACAAATATAGGAGGCAGCGGCCTTGCCACGTGGTATACACCAAACCTGCTATTCTTCATGGTCTGATAAGAAGACCAACTACTTTTTCTGGTATGAAATTCTTTTGTTTTGTAAGTTTCACAGTGCTGATAGAATCAAATTCTAGTTGTTCACATAGGTGTTATTCCAACAATGTCAGTAAAATATACCAAGAGATTGTAATAGTTGTACCCTTGGACCCGACCTGTTGTACTGTATTATACCATGAGTACATTTTTGCTCACTATCCTATTAGTTATCATTAGATTAGTTTAAATTTCGAGATTTGTGTAGTTAATAGATTAAATCAAACTCATTTAACGGTGATCAATAGGGTGGTGGGCATTACCATCGTATTCGTGTGGTGAGCAAAAATATTTCCATTGTACATTACAGTAAGAGTTGCTGCTAAGTTAGTGAGGAATTTTTTCGGTTCGTAGCAAAGTTGGAACTAGTCGTGCATGTTTTGTTGTTTATGCAGCTATTGGCATCTTGTTGCTTGTGGATATCGACGTGCACGCATTTTTTTAATAGCAGAAGAGCATATCTTATAGGACCTTGTTTTTTACTTGTTTTAAAAGAACTTCTTCAGTAACCAGTAACCACCACGTAGTGATCTAGTGGTCAAGGACGAATTTTAAGCCCATAGTCACAGATTTCATGTTCGGTCGACAATCACCAATCTCATGTTCTAACATCAATGCTTGGGGCAGTGCAGGGGTAGGGTATTAAGATTTATATAGAAATTTGTTGAGTTTTTTAAGTGATTGACTTTTACGAATTTAGTGGATTTTCACTAACTATTATAATCTTCATAAAATTTTAGTGTTGTAAATATAATTAATTGTGCGGCTCACTTGAGGCTAATATACAATATCTCAATAGTTTAGCACCTGTGTGTGTAAATGCTAAGCCTATAAATAGGCAGCCTAATGTACTCTTATTTTCTCTCCCTAATCTCTCTTTTGTCTCTCTCTATTCTCTGGTTTTCTCTCTTATTCTACACTGTATTTTCAACAGACTTTTAATGATATACTTTTATGGAAAAAAAAGGAATTCAATGATAGCCTTAAGCAGATTTGTAGAGATTTCAATGCTAGAATTTTTTAAGATTCTGTGGATTTTCATGGACTTTTAATTAACCAACTTATAAATAAGCATTGTTATGGTAGTAGAAAAGTTGGTGTCTTGGGTGTTGACGCTAATAGTATGTGTAAGAAAAGAATGAAAAAGAGGATCATTCACCGAGGGACCACCGAATGGAGTATCGCGAACCCGCCTCCGCCACTGTCGCACGAACCATTTATGATGATTGCGTCTAGGTGGATGGTGGGACACGACTTGGAGTCTTGCAGTGCAAGTAAGCAAATCAAAGATGTATTTAGTCTAAGTCAAGTGATGTGATATAAACTAGCACTCAAATTAAACCCTCTTATTGACAATTGTAGTAAAGATGTAAGTAGGGATCGTTCTAGACCGGGGATTAGGAGGGATTGCTAATCTACTTAAAACTGACTTAAAAACATAAAACTAGTCTTGAAAACACTTTAACTAGACTCAAAGAACTCAAAACAAACTAAAAAGACTCAAAACAGCACAAAACAATCAAATAGACTCAAACTAGACACTAGGAGGTGATTTGGACGAAAATTGATTTTAAAATGACTTAAAACACTTAAAAACATAATTTGGACAGATTCTAACTAACTTGACGCAACAAAGTAAAGGGAATTGGGTTTTTGACGAATTTAAGGTAAAGACAAGTAAATTAAAGACTCAAACAATTTTAGCACGAATTTGGGAGAAAATATGGGTGATTGGCTAGTTAGAGGGTTCTTCTCTACACATGACACACTTGCACATAAATCGATTTCCAGTTGCTTTTCCAATAAACCATGAACCTCAACGCCCCAGATTAACCGTGAACAGCATTAATTAACCCTCAAATTTTCCTTAAGTCATTGAATTGGATGGACAACGCATCGGCAACCAAATTATTCTTCAATAGTCCCCTACATGAACATTATAATAGAGATACAATCAAAGATCATTAAGCTTTGTGAAAATCATAAGCATTGACAAGGCATTCGTAACTACTCATGCCAGGAATTTAACTTAACACGATCGTGACCAGCGACCTTCACTACTTATGAATATAAGTTTGTAACGATTATGTGAAACTCCCTTATATCCTAGCATCAAATCCCTGCATGCAAACTAAGTGTGCACCCTTAATCAACAAATGATAGGAGCATATGTATGCGACTTAGTTAGCATGTTTTCTTGCATTTCCTTAGTTAGTTTATGCTTATTATAGTGTTTTAAGCTATTTTCGTGTGTTTGAGGTCATAATGGCAAAGTTGGCAAGAAAGTGCATTTTGGTGCAGTTTTGGGTTGAAATGGATTGCATGCATATGGAGCAAGTTGGATGGACGTTTTTGATGCTTAAATGAGGCTAGGAATGTGCTACAAATCTGGAGAAATTATTTCAAGACTTGGAAGACAAAAAATCAGCAAGAAAGAAGGAACATTATCCAAACTGTAACTAACCTTATCTTATCCTATCCTATCCTATCCTAATCTTTTCCTAACTTAATTCCTGCTGCAAGGGGGAGTTAATTTCTAATTTAAATCACCTAGAAACCTTTCTAGAAGGCATTTTCCTTGCCTTGCAATCCACTCCCTTTTCCCTCCAAGTCTGCCGCAACTTCCTATCCCTTTTCCCCTTTGGATTCTGATTGTGTTAGCTTTTTTCTTATTGGATTTGGATTGTGCAAAGCCTTTTCAGAAATTAATTAGGCTTTGACCCTTCTCTTGAGGCCCAAGCAATATGTGCCGCACCCTATAAACCCTAGACCTAATTCTGAGGGTTTTCAGCCATGCTATATATATATATATATATATATATATATATATATATATATATATATATATATATATATATATATATATATATATATATATATGCCGCACCACTGACACCTATATATTCTACACCACCCACCACACCATAATTCATTCTACACCACCACCCATTCAGAAATCCATATTTTGGCGCAGAGGAGAGAAGACAAGACCTTGCTGTGACTTCCATTGGAGAAGGAGGAATTTGCTGCAAGCCTACCTGCATCCTTTGGAGTTTCTAGAGTTCTTTCTTCCCTTGTTTGTTTCCATGTTTATTTCAAATTGCTTTTCAATTGTTATGAACATGTGTAACTAATTTTCTTATTAGTTAGAGGTGAATTCGAAGCCATGGACATATGTTTGATATGAATTGATTACCTTCAGTTTTTGTTTCGTAAAACATGAATGTGGTTTACTTATTTGATTGATTGAGAACTTATTTGTGTATGTTGATTGAGGGTGCACACTTAATCTGCATGCATGAATCTGATGCTAAAATATAAAGGAGTTTCACCTAGTCGTTATGAACTTATATTTATAAGTAGTGGAGGTTGCTAGTCACAATCCCGTTAAGTAAATCCATGACAAGAGTATCATGCAGGTCATAGTTACAAATGCCTTGTCAATGCTTATGATTTTCATAGAACTTAATGATCTTTGATTGTATCTCTATCATGCTGTTCATATAGGGAACTTGAATTTGGTTGCCGATGCATATTCCATCCAATTCAATGAACTTAGGAAAATCTGAAAGTTAATTTGTGCTTTTCATGATTAATTTGGGGCATTGTTGTTCATGGTTTAAAGAAACAATACTGGAAATCAATTTATTTTGCATATGTTTCATGTGTGGAGAAGAATCCTCTAGCTAGCTTTTCACCCTTGAATTAACCTAAATTCGTTTTTACCTTGCTCTGTTTCTGCAAGTTATTTGTTTTAGTTAATTTCGTCCAAGTCAATCCCCACTTTAATTAAGTGTGTTAGATTAGTTAGAAGAGTATTTGAATCTGTCCAAATTAGTGTTTTGAGTCAAGTAAGTCTTAAATTCATCCAAATAACTCTTTACAGTCAGTTTTGAGTCTTTTTTATTCTTTTGTGCTGTTTTGAGTTAGTTTAGTTTGTTTTGAGTCATATAAGTCTAGTTAAGAGTCTTAGAGTCTAGTTTTCTATTTTTAAGTTTAGTTTTGTGTTTTTAAGTCAGTTTTTAGTAGATTAGCATCCCTAGTTAATCCCCAATCTAGAACGATCCCTACTTGCATCTTTACTACAATTGTCAACAATAGGGTTTAATTTGTGTGTTAAGTTAATTTTCACATCAACAAACAAGAATAAGTTCTGAATCAAACAGTTAAGTAAATTGCATTCACGATTTATAGAATCACAACTGGAAGTAATCAATTCATATTGCAAATATATTCATGGCTTTGAATTTCCACCTAGCTAAAACGACTTTAGCTCCTCATGTTCGCAAAACAAAGATAAATTAAATTAAACATTCCAAGGGTCCTTCTTCTTCTTCTTTGTTGTGGCACAAGGTGTGGGTGAAGGTTTGAGTGATGAATTGTATGGAAGAATGGTTGAAAGTATGAATGGTGGTGAATGGATGTGTTGATGGCTGAGTGGATGGATTGAATGGTGCGGCAAGGGCCTTTATTTATAGGGGAAGGAAAGGGCACGGCTGGGAATTAATTTGGGAAAGGTTTAAGATTCCAAATCCTCCAAGAAAAGGGTAACAAATCAAAATCCCAAGAGAAAAAGGGTAAGTGATATGCGGCAAGCCTAGAAAGAAAGGGGAATGTGACTTCCTTGCACGGCAAGGAAGGATTCCTTGCAGATTTGGTGCGGCACCCTATAGGAATGGGTTTAGGTCTTCTAGAATCATGATTTAAGTGTCCTAAAATAATTAAGGATCCTCTTTTGCAGCTGGAAATTAAATGGTGAAGGATTAGGAAAGTTTAGGACAAAATAAGGTAACTTTGGCTAGCATTCCTTCTTTCTTGCTTGCATCCTTTACTTCCTTTTCTTGAATTAATTTCTTCATAACTTCAGCATAATCCTAGCCTCCTTTGGTCTTCAAATTCGTCCATCCACCATGCTCCATGCATGTGCTATTTATTTCAAGCCCAAAACTGCTCCAAAAGGCACCAAAATGCACTTTCTTGCCACTTTAGCTTTTTAAACCTACAAACACACGAAAATAATTTAAAATACTAAAATAACTAGGAACTAACAACATAAATGCAAGAAAACAAGTTAACTAAGTCGCATAAATATGCTCCTATCATCAAGACTAAGACTAGAACAGTCACGAGATATGGAGCTTTCTAATCGAAGGGTCATGCTTCTCGTCTCGATCCTAGTTTAGGGTAAGGACAATACACCAGTCAACCAGTGTGGTGGCGAACACAATGTGCTATAAGCTAAGCTATTCACCTTGTAAATGGAAGATATATATATATATATATATATATATATATATCTTTT